ATGCTTAAAATGTTTAGGGAGAAATGGAAGACTGGTGTGTATTTTTTCTTTAAACTACCAAGACCAGCCATAAACAGTACAGTTTACATACAGTAATGTTTATGTTCCTAAATTAATATCATTTATGACCTTCAGATGCGTTATGCTCCTCTTCTTTTTATGCTCAGCTACAAAAATGTCCCTATAGTGGTAAAATTCCATATAAATATTCAATACTAAGCGGGTTAAAATGTGCACAGTGAAGAGATTGAATGATTAAATCTTTTCACTACCAACCATTTACCACGAGTGCCCCTGTCGGTCAAATTGGCCAGCCAATCACTTACCGCGGTGCCCTGCGGTGGCTTGTGGGTAGTTTACTGTACCGCGGGTTTGTACCGTGCATTTTAAATGGCTGGATCTGTACTTTAATACAGGAACAGTATTTCTGTATGGCTGTCCTCCACACCTCTCTCTCTCAGTGCCACCTCTTCTCTACTGCAGCTTAGTGGGTGGTTTGCTATTTTCTCAGAGGGAATGTGATTTTTTCTGTATCAAACACGTGTATACAAAATTATAGTGCTTAAAAAGTTTAATTAAAAAGTAAAAAAGATTCTAAGATGATCACGAGAAAGAAAAACCACTAATTTGTCACGCATAAAAAGTGTTTTTTAACCAGCTTAATCCATTTTTTATAGCTCTTAAAGTCATGCAATGTCTAGGTTAGGCAGGGACATGTCATTGTTTCTTATTTTTTATTTTCTTTTAAAACAAATACTCCATTTCCCATCGTGCTATACAGAATTATGATACATTTCTTACGTTTTCGAGAGACTTCAGAACTTTTTAATTGATGCATAAAAAAATGTAGCATAATGTTTTGTGCTCAATCGCTTTTTTACCACAGCACACATCTTTCCTCCTGTAAAAAAAAAAATCCATATGTAGTTTGTTATCTGAGTAAAAACAGAAAATACAGAAAGCTTCCCAAATTAAAGAGGGGTTGAACCCAACGAGTTTGTTATTCTGCTTTATATGGTCAGGTGTTTTCCATACATACATTCGCTTTTGAATAGTGATTTTTGTTAGGAACTCCTTTACCCCCCACGGGATCCACTGTATTCAAACTAAGGTTTCTTAAAATGCATCGAAACACTAGATGTTGTTTAAATAAAAGTTGTGAAAAAGTCAATATAGTGTACATAATATTTACTATTTTAAAAAAAGTGTTAGAAGAAAAATGTGTGGCCTAAGTGGGACCAACACACCACTCTGAAACAAAGCTGAAACGCACCATTAAAATGTTTCCAAAGTAATCAGAAGAATAAGTCAAGGAAACTGATGCAGAAGTTTACAAAGAAAGTGGAGTATGGTAATACTACCAGCTATATAAATATATAATATTTAAATCCTTAAATAAATATCGTTATTAATTTCTTTAGTTATGCAATTCTTTATTATATTCCCAATTAACAATAAAGCTATCAGGACTATGCTCCTGTTATTTTTATGCTCAGCTACCAAAATTCTCTTTAGTAGTAAAATTTCATATTAATATTCCATATTAGGTGGATTTAAACATGCACAGTAGAGAGATTAAATGAAGCAATCGTTTTCACTAACATCTAACACACCACAAGTGCCACTTATTGCCGATCTTTGGTCAGTGAATCACATGCCGTGGTAAAGCACAACCCCAGTAGCGCATTACAGGGTTTTAATTTGCATTCTTTCATGCCCTTCTCCCATGGGACTGCCAATTCTATGAGTACGTACTTATTCTAAAAATGCTCACTAACCTGGAGAGAATGTGTTACTCTTAAGGATTCCTCATAAAGGAAATCAGAATCAGAGGTTGATTTAAAGGTTGATCCAAACAAGGGCCTCTTGTCTGGCACACTACTACTGCCCTCTTCACCTCTGGTCTCATGTCTTACTGTACTGTATTTTATCCTGTTTTTCTAGACTGATGATAATGCTTAATGATTTAACAAGGAGTTAATTAACTAGGGTAAACCAGAAAGTTCCCTGTATTATTATTTCAGATTACTTACAGCTCAGTTAACACCTCAGCTCCATCTCATTGCTTTTAAGCTCTGAGTACTGCAAAGGTTGACTTATGACACTTCAACAGCATTAATAATATTATATGAACAAGTAATAGGTTTTTTCCATGCTGATAAGAGAAGAAAGAAAACACAACATTTCGGCTGTGGAGCCGCCTTCTGGCGTGAACTCACACCCAAAGTTCCTTTGCAGCCTACGTAGCTGACGCAGCTACCCACCTCAAATATTATATGAATTGCATTTTCCTGTTTTATTGCTTACTTGGTAGACGTGAAGTCTCTTGTTCCCTGAGATTACATCCAGCCAACTATTTTCTAACTGCATCACCAAACTCAGGGCTACAGTACTGTGAAGAAGCAATAGTAACCATCCCACCATCCTCAGGAAAGCTATCAAAATAGCTAAATACAACTACGGAGTAAAATTCATATTATCAACAGTTATATTATCACGGCTGCAACATTTGGAGTGGTATACGCAACATTACAGACTACAAAACGCAATCCAGCTATATCGTACAACAGTCTGCCTCTCTTCCTGATGAGCTAAATTCATTCTATGCTCGGTTTGAGGTCAGTAACGCAGATCCAGTCAGGAAGATTCCAGAAATCCAAGACAGAAACCCACTGATCACATCCAAAGTGGATGTGTGTAAAGTTTTTAAAAAGACCAATCCATGCAAGGCTCCTGGCCCCGATGCTATCCCTGGCCGTTTCTGAAGGCATGTGCAGACCAGCTGGCAGATATCTTCTCGGACACATTCAATCTCTCTCTAGCTCAGTCTATAGTTCCTTCCTGCTTTAAGAAAACCACCATTGTCCCCGTTCCTAAGAAACCCAGAGTCTGTTGCCTGAATGACTACCACCATCAGTTATCAGTTATCATGAAGTGCTTCGAGCAGTTGGTCAAAACATACATCACCTCCTCACTGCCTGACACCCTAGACCCACTGCAATTTGCGTATCGCCAGAACAAGTCAACAAAATATGCTATTGCCACTGCCCTCCATACTGCCCTCTCAAACCTGGATAAGAAAGGAACATATGTGAGAATGCTGTTTGTTGATTACAGCTCAGCATTCAATACCATAGTGACCCCAAAGCTTGTCATCAAGCTCCAGTACCTGGGACTGAACACCTCCCTTTGTAATTGGATCCTGGACTTCTTGACAGAACATCCGCAGGTGGTGAGGGTGGGCACCAACATATCCTCTACTCTGACTTCAAACACTGGAGCCCCCCAAGGCTGTGTGCTTAGCCCTGTCCTCTACTCCTTATTTAGCCACAATTGTGTCATCAGGCATAACTCAAACTCCATCATTAAATTTGCGGACGACACAACAGTCATCATCCTGATCACAGATGGTGAAGAGTCTATGTACAGGGAGGAGGTTGAAACCCTGGCAGCATGGTGCCAGGAGAACAACTTCTCTCTGAACACCAGTAAGACAAAGGTGATTACTGTGGATTATAGGAAATACCAGGGAGGAGATCACACACCTATCTACATCAATGGGACTGCAGTGGAGAGGGTCAGCAGTTTTAAGTTCCTGTGATGTTAGATCCCAGAGGACTTAACCTGGACCCACCACACCAACATCATGGTCAAAACAGCACAGCAGCACCTATTCTTTCTCCGCAGGCTAAGGATGTTTCACGTATCCAGGCCAGCTTCTACAGGTGCACTACTGAGAGTATCCTGACTGGTTGCATCACTGCCTGGCATGGGAACTGCTCCGCCTAGGATCGCAAAGTACTGCAGAGGGTGGTGAAGTTAGCGCAGCTCATTACCGGCTGTGAGCTACCAAACATTCAGGATATCTACTCAGCTAGATATCTTAAGAAGTCCAGGTCCATTCTCAAGGACTCCAGTCATCCTAGTAAAAAACTGTAAACAGTACTGAAGCATTCAGTCAAAGTCCAACAGATTACGGAACAGCTTCTACCTCCAGGCAATAAGACTGCTAGATAACCAACCTGCAGCTCCTTTAGCAAATCACCCATAATGGCTACATAGAAATACTGTTTTCATTGTGCATACGGCACTACTTGGACATAATATACTACATACACCATGAACACATAGCAGCTCTATTTATTTGGAGTTTTGTCTGAGTTTATTTTATTCAATTTCTATTACATTATTTGTTATCATGTAACCTTATTATTTAACCTTAATTTTGTGATTTTTACCCCCTCCCCCCCATCCGGTGAGCTCGTAGAAAAGACATTTCATTGCCAGCAACTACTGCTGCATGCCTCATTGTTGTGTACTTGATAAATAAACGTTGATTGATTGATTTCATCTTATCTTCAGTTTATGCTTAACAATTAACACAAAGGGTAGTCCTGTATATAAGGCTGTAGTAGTTCAGGTGGGTAGCTGCGTCTGTATGCGTAGACTTCAAAGGAACAAGTAATAGGTTTATTCCATGCTGTAAAAAGAAAGAAAACATGTTTAGGCCTTCTTCAGGTGTCACATTTTCTTTCTTCTTTTTTCAGCATGGAATAAATCTAATACTTGGTCCTGTATATAAGTCAGTATCAGAATCCCCTCTGTCTAGACACTCTGCACAATACCTGGCTCCATTGGGCTCTTGGTCCCCTGGGAACTGTTTCGACTGGACTTGCTGCCCTTTCCCTTGGTGGGTCTCCTCCGCCTGCCTGACAAGGGTGCCGCCGGGGGTACAATAACAGCAGGAAGCTGTTTTCCCAACTTCATATACAGACTCTCAATTTCCTGCTTCTGTCGCATCTGCAAAGACTGGATCTCTTTCATATGTCTAAGAGACAAAGAGAAATATACAGCCTCTGTAGACAAAGTAAATTACGAATTTGCTTTTCTTTCAAAGTCTTAAAAATAGTGAATAGCCTGATACTTCTTTCAGTCTTACAATGTTAAGAATACTGCAGGCAAAACAATCACATATGCCAAGGCTTATACTTTTGTTTAGTGATACATTACAATAAAAGCCTTTTGGAGGATTTTAAGTATATTTTTTATTTAATCCCTACAATGCAAAAGCAATATTCTATAGAGAATGGATCAGCACAAGATCTCTGTTATGAACTAAGAAATAAAGGCTTTTAAGAAACAAAAAGTTTCTGTGGTATGACAAAAGTCTTTCAAAAGCTTTCTGGTTTTTTGAGATGTGGATATGGAGGAAAATTGCCAGATAGTCTACCCATCTGCAAATTTTGTATTTTGCCATTTCCCAGGATGGATTAATCTTTAATCAGCTTTGCTAGAGAAAATGCAGCAGAGTTATGGGCAAAGCACTAGTGATCTCATTAATCCTAGTCACCTCATTTTAGCTGTACCTTTTTTGTTAAAGAAACTTCCTTGTCCATGTGAGGGAGATGCTGTTCAGTGGTCATTGTCTCTATAAGTACTTCAATTTATTCAGCTACTGTAAATGTCAGTGCTTCAATTACAAAACAATATTGTAACCAATATTGTAACCACATTCCTGGTGCTGGAGCTTGAAAGTTTTCAAGGTCTATGTACCAGAAGAGCTAGGAGAAGCTGTTAAATTGTTCAATAATGCCAGTAACTAGCTGTTAGTAATTAGTCTATCACCGTGTTGAAATGAAAACCTATACATACACTCGTCTCCAGGACCAAGACTGGACAATTTGGATTTAAAGAATTTACTTTGTAGATATTACTTTGCAAATATTTATTTTTACTTTGCAGATTTTCTAAAAATAGTGACTATAATGGTATTGGCTGCTTACTGAACTGACAGCGAAACCTACTTCTCCTGCAACCGGCGTAGCTCCTTCTTAAAATCTTCATCCTCAAACTCAGAGTCATTGTCACTGCTGACATAGGAGGTAAAGGAATTGTTCAGGTTGGGCATACGCAGGGAGCTCTTGGATGTAGGGCTAACATCTCCATCTGTACTCTGCAAAGGTCCATTCTCTTGACTATGGTACTCAGATGGGCTCTCCCCACTCGCAGCCTCCAGGTCCTCCGTTGGGCCTGGCATATCCTCCTGGGCCCGGCTTACAGAGAAACGTCCCACCCTGGTGTCAGTAGAGGTGGTCACTTGGAATCTCCCAATGGTACTATGCTGTGCCATTTCTACTCCAGATCCAGGTTCAGTCCGGTTAGGTGGAGGAGGCAAGCCATCCACTACATCTCGTACGAGTGTGTGGCACCGTGTAACAGGTACATGCAGCGTGTGTTCAGGGCTGGACAGGGTGGAGGAAGAGGACGTGGAAGATGAAGGGGGATCCTTGGAGTTTGAATGGACTTCATTTTCTATCCCAGACACATGCTCGTCAGCAGTAACTGACACCTGGAGAAAGTAGAACACAACAACAGGCATTCAGTGGAGCACAAGCAAAAGCAGCAAATAATTTGTTCTTTCTGTTTTTGGAACAACCACATGTTTTGCCAATTACTGCACATCATGAACCACAGCACTGCATATTCCCTAATAAGGCAGCCAGAATGTAGTTTGATGTTTTTAGATGAGATTAGTCTGCTTGGCTTTCTTCACAAAATGGCCAAATACTAATTCACCTAGAAGTGAGGTATACATTACGTGCAGCACTTCAACAAAAGATCCTTGAACAGAAGAGGTTTAAGTGCAGGAAGAATAGTAAGTTTTAGGAAAGCGTCATCTTTGTACTGGGCTAAAGATCTACACTGTGTAGAAATGACAAGCATCTGGACAAACTAAAATCCGTTGATTTTAGTTTGCTTAAAGACTGGAAAAATTTTACTTTAAAGACAAAACCATTGCTGATATACAGCATACCCAATATCAGCAGTTTTATTCTTCACTGACAAATGAAAAGCACCATTTTATAACCATGAAACCTCACTATACATATGGAATAAGTTACCAGTTTCATGTACAAAAAACCTTTACAAAATGTTGAAATATGGAAGTAGATATGGATGTCGGCAAAAAATAACCTGGAATCGACCCAGCTTCACAACTCCCGCTGAAGGTGCAGCTCCTGTTTCTGAATCTGCAGCTGGCACAACTGGTGCTGAAACATTAATACACCACTGTAAAAACCCAGAACCCCATACACAGTACCTATGCCTTCATCCCCAGGACTTTCAGCATTTAGTTTCTCCAATTCCATTAGTATTAGATTCATGATATTGAAAATGTATTTGCTCAGAGTAGACATGTACACACACCTAATGCAGCTGCTATAGGATTAGGTCTAAACATATATTCAATGATCAGCTTTAACTCATGAAATTCATTTGACAGTGAAAACAGTAAATAGCAGTTTATTTTTTAAATTTGTATGTAATTATATGGAAAAGGTATGGATTATTGTGTAACACGTACACGTAGGAAAGCCAGGAAGCCCTTTATTACCAAAACTGCCACATCTCACGCACCTGTAGTCGGAGTTAGCCCAGATGAACTCTGATCAGAAAAACCGGAAGAAGGTACAGTCACCAAAGGCTTGAAAGGAAAAAAAATCAATGATCCATCATTTACACATTTTTTATATTTTTTTATTTTATATATTTATTTTTGGGGTTTTAAGAATACTTAAATATTAAACATTCAAAACCTAAAACAATGACAGTTCTCAAATTTTTATCGACTTCTAAAAATATCAAATTGCCTGATCAGATGGAATAATGCAATTAATTATAATACTGTACGTTTCTAAACTATTCCAAGTATTTTTTTAAGCAAAAGTTTCACAGTTGCTTATTGCTCACCACTCTCATTGTTCAAAAATGATGTTTCAAAGAAAGAGAAGAAAATGTATACATTTATCACTAGTTAACGCATGGGCTGTCGGTAATACCAAGATTTCATATGAGACTTCCTGAGTGGCTCCATCACCTGTGCAGGCTGAATTTTATGACCACAACTTCAAACCTGGCTCGTATTACTAGTAAACTGTACTAACACAGCAAGACAACTGGCTGAGCACCACCGAAGTTATAGTGTGATTAATTAATCGGAGCTCTTGAGGCTCTGAGTGACATAGCAATCCTTGAAGTCTCCCAGGAGCTTGGAAGCATGAGGAGAAAGTATCTCTCTAATTAGGCTGAACCTCTGGTACAGGGCTGTGGTACTTGTGTCATACTGGGCGGTGCAGTGGCTCTGTGGCTAAGGATCTGCGCCTTGCCGATTGGTATCCTGCAGCCGGAAGAGCCCCTGAGCAAGGCCCTTAACCCCAGCTGCTCCAGGGGCACCGTATAAATGGCTGACCCTGCGCTCTGACCCCAAGCTTCTCTCTTCCCGTCTGTGTGTCTCACGGAGAGCAAGTTGGGGTATGTGAAAATACTTATTCCTAACACAAGAAATTGTATATGGCCAATAAAGTTATCTTATCTTATCTTAAAAGGCTAATGGCACAAAAATGGTCAGGTTGGAGGATTGTGCTTTCACTTCCTCATTCTGCCCTGTGTTCGGTTACAGTAACTGTAGCCAAAATCTAAAAAGTATATAACTGGATATTGTAAATTGGATGCCTATAGATCTATTATTTTTGCATATAAATGACAATTCTAAATTTGGATATAAAAATATTTCTTGAAATGATGGAAAGATAAATATCAGGTCAGAATGATTAGTAATTTAAGTTTTACTTCTTCAGGTTTGCACTGCATGTATACCCTTCCTCATCATCAGGAAATAGGTTTTTAAAGAAGGTAAAGAAACTTAAAGCAGTAGACATGGATGCAAAAACAACAACCGGAGACGAAAAAAATGAGTATGCATAAAACCCCAAAAATTTCAGCTTTACTGCAAAATATGTTAAATATAATATCTATAACGAAGGGAATTGATTTTGAATTTTATAACCCCAGAAAGAAAAATGTAATGGGCTAATTCAGATATAGCTAAACATGATTCTTCTAATTTATTTTCTAAAACATTTTTCTATTAACATTTGAAATACGTTGATTCTTGATTACAGTTTATCAGTAATCAACATACTGTGATTTAAAATACAGTCACCCCTCGCTTTTCACGAGGTTCGTACTTCTTGGTTTAGTTTATTCACGGGTAGACCCTACCCCCCAAAAAAACTCCCTGTACTTCCCACTTTACGTATCTGTCTGCCTTTGTGCCTTTTCGCGTTAGTTATCTCTTTACGTTTCATTGTTTAAGTGAAGTTTTTTGTGCTACATATCTATTATTTATATTAAATATGGAACCTAAACCTGCTTCTGTGCTTGTGCTAGTAATTCTGGACCTAAAAGACGCAAGAAAGTGATGACTTTGGCAGAGAAGGTTGCACTTTTAGACACGTTCAAAGAAAGAAAATCTGTTTAAGGAGTTGAAGGAGAAAAAGAAGCAGCTCCCCCATCACAATGTTTCTACAAAGAAAAGAAACTCCAACCAGCGAAAGTGAACCAGTCGCAAAATGACATTAAAAGTGAATAAAAATAAAATGCTTTTCATTTTTATTATTTTGTCAAATAACTAAAAGGGATTTAATAACAAAGAAACAATTAAAAAACTGTATAAAAATCCTTAGAAATACAAATAGTCATTTATTGGTCAGAACAATTATTCATTTGTAAGCAAGACTTTAATGCCTTTACTTCATCTCCCCCCTCCCTTTCCATGTGTCAAAAAATGCCAAAATCCAGCAATATGCTTTCAAATGAATTACCCTCGATTAGAAAAAGAATACTAAAATGTTTTTTTTGGGGGACCTGGGTTGTTTTGGAGAGGGCAGTCAATTATTTGATGTTTTTTGCTGTTCGCAGAAGGTCTTGGAACCTATCCCCCGCAAAAAGCAAGGGATGACTGCAGTTCTGAACCTTTTCAATGTAACAACTGTCTCTCACCTGTGCAGTGACACTGTTAATGGCAACTGTCTCCGGACTGAGGGCCCGCCTCAACTGGGCATCTAGGTCTTCTAGAGGCTGCTGAGACTAATATACAAGAATATAAATGGAAAAAGTAAAAACAACCAGGTTAAAATAAAAACTTTTTTCTTCCATTTCTTTCAACCACTGAAAACATCCACTGAATGTTGCTAAAGACACACTCGGGGATAATGTCCATGCTACTAGAGACCAACATTCAACTGGAGCTTTTAAACCTCTTTTTATGGATATCAATGGTAGAAATGAATGCTTAGCAGATTTGGTCACATTGTACCAAAATAAACATCCTTCTGAAATCTACTTTACGTTGTACAGATACAGAGCTCCAGAGCTCCTTCAGTTTAGTTTTTTTTTCATATTCACAATCTGCTAACAATTCATTTCTACATTAAATGTATTTGACATGTTTTAGGGAAAAACATTTATATTTTCTGACTTTGATGTTTTAGAAATCAAGTTAAATCTGTGCTGCTGCGAAGAGGGAAATATTATATCTGGATGAAAAAATGTTCATATTTATAAACACTATCTGAATAATATTATTCTAGTTTATCTACAAAATGATCTTTACAACCAACACCACAACAAAAACTGTGTTTAGTTCTAGAAAGTCATGAATAACAGAGGCTTCTGTATCAGTGAAAAAGCATTAACAAATTTTAAAAAAGCATTAAAGAAGTCATTCAAAACCAATTTTGTAGTCTGAAAAAACTTATATTTGGTAGTTATTTTTTAAGGTCATATTATGTGCACAAAGAAACAATAACACAATTTTTAACTGATAAAAGAATTGTCCCTCCAAAAAACACTGCGCATTTAAATTCCCTTATGAAGGATTTTGTAATGTTATAAAAAAAGCTATACACATTAAATATGCCTTAAACATTAAAGGGAGCTACATTTTTTTAAGTATGATAGAAGAGTTAAAAAGTTTTAACCAGAAACTCTAGGTTATTCAGATTTTTTAGTTCAATCTTGTAGGCAGCACATACATTTCACTTACTCTGAGGAGGGGTACAGAATTCATTCAAACTTACAAATTAAGATAAACTACTTCAGATATAATACTAGAGCACATGAAAAACCTCAGTTTAACAATCTTTGCTTTTCCCATTACAAGCAAGTCAATGGTTGTCTGTTCTTGATTTCTTTCAATACAAAATGTGAGCTGCAATTTGGAATTGTCAATTGTGATTAATTTGCCATTATGATCTTTTCAGCACTTGAGGGATAAAGGCAAAATTCATGCCTTCTCCGAAACAAGCACTATTAAAATCATCTTTCTTTTTTCCCCACTCTACTAGCCCTACAATGCCCACCAGAGAGATGGCACCAAAGGGTCATGAACAGATACATGACAAGTTTTCAGACACTTAGGAGTCACTGATGCCTGGCTAAACCTTGGACAGTATGGATGGTTCAACTCCTTCCACCTCTTTTAGGAGTTTTGTGCTGAAATCTGGGAATCCAGATCATAGCAGTCTAACCATTTTAACTAGTGATGTCTGGACTGTTGAGTGTTTTTTTTAAGGAAAAAAAATGTCTGTTATATACAAAATGCAAAAATGGTGTTACCTTCTTTCAGCTCTAAAAACAGATATTTACTGACAAATGACAACATTCCAGGCAGAACTGAAAATGAGAACCGTTATAGAACTTTGCCTTAAGGACAGAATAATTACTCACTGATATTTATGGTTTCAATAAGAGGGTTAATCAAGAATGTATCGGGACTCGGATCATGCTTGACAGAAAAAAAAACTCCTTCATGCAGATTGTATTTTTATTATTTTGGACATGCTTATACAGAGGATATAACCAAGGAAGGAGAGGAAACCAAGAGAAGGAGAAAAAGGTGAGAACAGGTCTCAGGGCAATGGAGAAGCACCTGGGTTAAAGAAGGTCCTGGAAAAGGTGGCAGATGTTCAGTGGGTGGAGTGCCAGCCTGCAATTCTGTGCCTACAGGTAACACCTGACAATGAAGAGGAAATGAAACAAGGGCACTTAATCACAGAAAAGACAATGAAAAAAATTCCCTTCATCTTTACAGTATTGCCAATGATGTAAAAACAATTTTCTAAACTGCATCAGCAAGATTTAGTGTTAAGATTTAGGATTTGTGCTTAAATAATTTGAATAATTAGATAAATCCCTTCTGATTTGCCAGACAAGGCAGTATTAATGTATGAACAGCAATTACTGTTGCTGATAAAATTATATAAAGCTTAAGTCACTAAACGCACTGCATTGAAAAAGTATTTGCCCCCTGTCTGATTTTCTGCATATTTGCCAATTTTTTTCCATCAGCTGTTTTCATGGGTATTATATAAGCAGAGTTTGTGAGAAAACATAACACTAAAGTTTGGTGTTTCATTCATTTGTTTGGTGTGCAAAGTAATCAAATATGCTATTTTCAGCTGTGAAAATGTTCCTACCCCCTTGGTGATGTAATCCAATTAAAAGGATAATTAGAGTCAGCTGTTTGAATACTTTGGTTAACATTCAGGCCTCACGTAGGCCAGCCCTGCCCAATATAAATCTGAGTACATTTGGTTAAGTTGTCAACAGAAGAGGCACATTCATACCTCTCCTTAAAAGAAATTCCTGAAAACCTCCAGAAAAAAAGTTGTCTACCTTGGAAAGGGTTACAAAGCCATTTCTAGGGACTCCGCTAAAACACACCTATTTTGTCCAAGTAGAGATTCATTATTGAATTTTCCCAGGAGTGGCCATCCTGCCAAAATCTGTCCAAGTGCAAGTGTAAACCTGCCAGGAAGTAACAAAGATCCTAATAACATCTAGGGACCTGCGGGCCTCTCTTATGTTGCCTAAGGTATGTTTTTTCCCATGACTCCACCATCAGAATGACACAAAATGGATCACGATGATCTTCAAGGGTTCTGGAACAACGCCCTACGGTCTAATGAGTCAAAATGCAACTTTATGGCCTACACGGCCCTGTTATGTCTGGTGAAAACCAAACACTGCATTCCATAGTAAGAACCTCATACCAGTGGTCCAGCATAGTGATGGTGGTGGTAGTTGTCATCAATGTCACTCAGGGTGCCTTTTATCTAATATTAGATTTTGGTTGGAATCTGATAAGATCTGCAATCATGCAGAAAACCAGACAGGAGGAAAATACTTTTTCACAGCACTGTACATTAACATCAATTTCAATTTAAGGCACGAGTAGTCAATCTAGGCACTTTCAGTTTTGCTCGATCTAATCTTAACTATTGAAATGATCTTCAGCACCTGGGTTAAGGCTCAAACAAAATTATTGAAATGTTTCAAGTTTTGTAACGGAATGGAAGTGCCAAGGTGAACTGCGCCAGGTTTAAGGTCTCAGATAGACATTACTGAATAATTAGAGGATATTTTACAGTTTCAAAGCAGAGAACAAAAATTAAGAAATTTGTACCTTATGCTTTTAATTGAAATAAAATGTTTGATGTATTCATTGAAACAGATCTGTCTTGGTGTTAGAGAAGGTACAGTAATACAATTGGGAGAATTACCATTGCAATTAAGTATTAGACTTTGAATAATCTGTTAACACAACCTAACAACCTTTCTGTTGGCCAAAAACTGATGTAGTTAAGAAAAATATAGGAGCTTTAGGAGTATTCAATTTATGTTGTGAAACAAATTATTGTTCTAACATAGTAGACGTTATGCTATTACTAAATATCTACAAGTCAAAACAAAATGATGTTTTTTTCTTTTTAAAAAATGAATTTTAGAATCCAGGAAGAATCATTAGCATGCAACACAAAATCATTCCTTAAGCACATATTAATTTCTTAAGAGACTGAAAGACCAGGCATTGAAACCAGCCAAAAGGGGTTAACAAATGGTGAGTTAGAACAGGAAATTGACATCACACATAGAAATTACAGTTTTTCTTCTCTTGGTTTTAACTAGGATAAAATAAGAACTGAAGAAACAAACCTAAATGCCCATTACCCAAACTGTTTACATACTCCTTTAGTCTTAACATTAAATTGCAGACATAGTAACGCAAATATGATAAATATGACCACCAAAATACTTCGCGTTAGGTATTTATACAACTGTTATTGACAGATTAACCAAAAACACATTAAACTGTTTTAGTTATACTACTGCTGAAGACCAAGAAGATAAACTTAGTGATAATTTGCACTTACTGGTACTCTTCCTAAAGAGGGCTTTGCTGAAGGTGTCCCAACCTTGACCACAGCTTGTGAGTTGGAGGGTGTAATTTGCCCATAGCTGGAAGGTGTACCTGCTTGTCCCGGTGTGGGTAAAGGGGTGGACCCTGGCTGCCCAGTGGAGCCTAAAGCCAAGCTGGTTGGAGGTGTGGTTGCAGAAGTGGTGGTTGTAGTAGAGGTGCCTGTAGGGGTTGAGGTTCCAGCAAGGCTGAGACCACCAATGCACTCAGAAGTTTCATGCTGGGCAGAAGACAGTGCAGAGCTGTGTTCATGGAACAATGAGCGCAGCTTTTGGTCCAGGGCCTTGATGTCATCAATGCCCACAGCCTTTCCCTGCAGTTCACTCTCACATTCGATACAGTGGGTGTGGGGCTGGTTGGGGAAGGGTGCTGGCTGGGGTTGGCTGTGTACCAGTGTCTGCTGCACTACAGGAATATTTGTGGTGACAGGCTGCAGACTAGAGAGGGAAAGCTGGGGTAGTAAAGGAATGCTGCCACCACCTGCCACAGAAGTTGAAACCGTTTGTATTGGCTGACCAACTGGCTGGGAGGTAGAAGCTTGGGTCAGAGAAGCACTGGAGACCGAGCTGTCTAGATGGAAAGTACATGGAGGCTCTGTGCTACTGCTGGTAATTAAAGAACCAGAAGCTGAGGGAACCATACTTTTGGGCACTGACACACTGATAAGCTGCTGGGCTGAGATGGAAATGGGAAGACTACTGTTTGGTCCAATTGCAGGTGGCTGGGACAGCTGAGGGATGCCTGGTGGAGATCCAGAAGGTGGGGCACTAATACAGGGAGCAACTGCACTAACAAGTGAAGGCTGAGAGGCAGGTTCTGGTGGGGACAAAGGGCCAAGCAGAGATGGGGCAGGTGAAGTTCCAATACCCCCAGCTAAGCTCACCGCTTGGGCAGGCTGCTGCTGAACTGGAGGTGGTGAGGAGGAACATAGTAGTGAGAGAGAAGAGGCAGAGACAACATCGGAGACGTTACTCTGTACGTGAGTTACTGGCAAAGAGGTAACAGGACTACTGGAAGTAACATCGATTGCTTCAGTGGTCTCTGGGCCTAACCCAGTGATGCTAGTACTATCCGATTGCAAAGGCATCAGAGGTGGCATAGTGAGGTTGACTGTGGGTGGAGCGGTACTGGGTCCCTCATCATACTGGCCCTGCCGCATCTCTGAGAAGGCCTGTTGCAAACTCAAGGAATTTGCAGAGTGAGAAAGGCCCAAGCTATGAGAACTCACTGGAGCTACAAGAAAAGAGGAAAAACAAAACGTAAGTCTGAAGGATATATTTACCCTAAGATTAATCTATTAAGTATTTCAAAAAAGTATATAGGGGACCATATTAAACAAAAACACACTTGCCAACTTACACTTCAAGGTAGTGCTTAAAATGAAAACAAGCTCTACAAAATAAAACTTTAAAAACACCAGTACAACAATATACCCAGTAAGACATAAACAGTAAGAGAAAAGTTTCTGTAATTTACCTGTGGCTGACATCTCCTTAGGTAGACTAGAAGCTGTTTGGCCAAAAAACTGATCTTTGAGACGGGACTCTGGAACAGGGCTTACGATGAACCGCCGACCGGCTGAGTGGACAACCTGTGTAGTTGAACTAGCCTGGACCCCTGGGGCAATAATAAGGGAATAGAAAGTTTAGGTTTTTATCCTTGCAAATTTTACGAACTGTTCTCAATTTAAACCATTAGATATCTCAGGGGAACCCACCTCCCCCACATACATTTATTCAGGCTTTGTGAACTTAAAAATAGTTAAGAAAATGATGTGGGACTGACATCCAAAATGCAAGCTGTCTACTGTGATTTAGATAAATTTGGCACTTGTACAGAGGTGGTAATGCTCTAGGAATGTTTGGTCATTTTTATTTTGCTTTAAACCATGTTGAGCATCTAGGATTAAAGTGACACCCAGAACATGTTTTCAAATTATGAAAAGAGACTGAATCACTTAAAATAAACTCTTCAGTTCTGTTAAATAAAAAGTGAAAAACATGGGAGCAAATGTAATTTCCTACCTATCTGAAGAGGAACTGACGTCACAGGCTCTGGCTGTCTGAACTCACTCACCACCTTGAAAATAAAAAGTGCAAGTACAAACACTTAATTCTTACATAGCAACTGAAAATGAAAAGTAGAATTTAAACTGTCACAAATCAGCTTAACGTGGTCACCTCTGGTGATTGCAGTTATTTAGGATAAGATAACTATTTCAAGCAACATTCATTTTCATCTTCTAATGATATATACTTACTAACATTTAAACTGAACAATTGAAACAAAAGTAATCTACTTAAGTAACTACAAACATCTTTGAATTATGCATTTTTCTCAATAGCTCTCCTAAGCTCTGAAATCTTTGCTTTCTAGATTGTTACCTGTATTAGGGCCTGGACAAGGGACATTGTAATGTTAAATGTAATGTATCTGCTTCATTTTGTGCTGTGCATTGTATTTCCATTGTGTTACCCCCATGTCAAGATTCCTCACTACCAATTAAATAGGGCACTGCATGTAACATTAATTGCATGCCTTTATAAACAATGGAGCACTGACAAACTCTTGACTGTACCTGGCATTCAGGGAAGAAGGGAGGTCTCCCCACTCCCTGCCCGCTCTCAGTTTCCGCTCCTACATCTTCACTTAGCATCTCATCTGCTTTCTCAATGATCTCGCGCACCTGGTCAATAAAGGAGTCTCTCTCGGCCTCCAAGATGAACTCACTCTGGACCTGAGTCACAAGAGCACAATTATTCTCTTACTCTTCATGAGTCACCCACAAAGTAGTGTTCCTGCAGCTTACTTGCTTCTTACAGAACATTTCATACAGTTACCACAGCCAGAGAGAGCACCCAAATTTAGGTGGAACAAAAATGCATCAGTAAATATTTTAAAATTATAGTCACAACTGGGTGAATTCTTGGCATATAGCAAAATCAACTTTTGTTCACCAACATAATTCAAGTCTTGCAAAAAAACAAACGTGATATTAAGAAATGATAAAAGCAAGAATAAACATTGTTGCCTTCATTTTAGCAAGGACTGGTTTAATTTTTTGTACTATACCAAGAAATCTAACCATCATTCCTATTTTTTTATATATATAAGGCGTTTTCCATTCTAATGATCAGTAGGTATAGACTGTATTCAACCATAAGAAAATATTTTTTAGCAAGTTTCACACAACTATGACACACTGCAATGTACATTGCTATTTTCGTCTTACAGTGTACATTACAAATACTTCAGTTAGGGTATTAGCTTATATTGTATTTATAGGTAATTCCACAATTTTGCTATTGGTTTTAGTTCTTATTTCTCAGGTATGTCAATGCCAAAGGGAAACGAGCTGTTCAAATGTCAAGTATGAATTTCTATTACAGTAAACTGTAATAATTCATACTGACACCTCTGGATACAGTTAAAATGGTGGTATTTACACCTAAGCCAGCACAGAGCAATCTTAAAAGGTGCCAGTGTAAACAGGGTTAAAGGGTAATGCTGTGATGCAGGGTGCATTTGGTTGGAGGAGTGCTTTCTCATCATTTTAATCTAAATCTAATCTAGTTAATTTTCTCCTTCAATAAACCTGCCTCTTTATACTTCTCAATTCACTGAATAAATCTCATGATATGCAGGATGGAAACACGCTACTCTGAAGAGATATGATTTGCTCAGAAACATGATAATATCTCTCCCACATTTTCTATTCCAGGATTATGGCGGGGCACATTTCAGTATGTAATACAGAAATGCTGCCAGCAAACTATAATTTACAATAATTGGAAAATTACTGTCAAAAACCTTTACAGTAGTAAAGAAGTTCCAATCTCCCACTGACATTGGTAGCATTACAACAGGTGAATGGGATAGTGGCATTGGACGTGTATTCCACTTCCTTGCTGATTACATTTGCAATAAATGGTTATATTTCTGATTAAAGAAGGCATATAAAGTGGGAGGAGGGGGTGTCCAAAATTGCACCACAAAAATATTGTGGTACAATTGACAATGGGACATAAATTTACCATTATTTCTGCTATCTCTTCTGGATTATCTCCATCCAAATCAAATTTGAAAGTGACCATTTTTCTATTGTGTGTTTCAAGCTGGCATTCAGCAACTCTGTCACCTTTATTAGAAACCTGAAAAAAAGAAAACAAGACTAAAGATCATGCTAAGAACTGATCAGTGTAAACAATAAGTATGAAGCATTCTACCTCCAACTGTATATATCTACTTGTCATTTTATTTGATTCAAGAGTAAATGAAAACATTCAACAGTAAATAAGCAAAAGGAAAACGTTCTGCTACTCTACATAATAAACTAGTCTAAAAAAGACTTAAGATGCAGTGGCAAATAGTAAGAACAACAAATTTTCCTTACATCTGTTATATGTTATATACTACATTTGCTCTATTGTCTAATATTTTGAATTTCTTGTGAAGTGCTCATTAGTAAAATTGTATTTCTTCATATACATACTGTTATGCAAATAAGGCGCAACTTATTTAAGGTGTTAGCTAACAGTTTAAGAACAAGTGTATATGATATGTAAATTGGAACCTTACAAAAGGTCTATTAAAAGCAAATGTCTGAACTTGACTGGACAATACTATAACTCTTACATTAAGAATCCTTAGCTTGGCCCTTGAGAGTTTATCATGGCGAGACCGGCTCCTGACAGATCTGCGATAGTGCCGCTTGGTGGACCTGCCCTCATGTCTACCAGTGGTTGCTGTAACCCCTTCATTACCATCACTCATTCCAGATGCCACATCTGAATGCCCACTGGAGATAGAAATACAGATTCAGTGATATCAAATAGAACTGCCATTTTCTGTAGACTTATACATATACAATTTTAGACCTATAATATTTTTTCAAAGTTTCTTTATAAAGCTCTTTTTTTACAGTTTGTCAAACCACTAATCCTCATTTAGCTTCCTCTACCAGTCCATTAGTATGCCAAGGAAGAGAATTACCTCTCCATAGAAGTAGGCACTTGGGATGTTTGTGTCTGCTCAGCTGGTACAGGTTGGGTAGACTGCAAAGGAAAATATTACAATCAGGAAAAGTCAAAGCTGTGTCCCTAAAGCATTCTCATCTAAACAACAATTTTCTCAACCTGAGTAAGAAACAACCTATATATCCTAACTCATATGTGATTAATTTCAGATAACGATTTTCAACTACAGATAGCACACTGTCACTGATAGCACACACTACAGTATATAAGGAATAAGAGCTATAATCACTAATTACCTCACTATGTAGTATTACACTTAAAACTGACCATGGTAGTTATGACAGGTTATTACAAATATACTTCAATAAAAGCCAGTCATATACACAACACACAAGACAGATTAAGGGAAACTAGTAGACACCAAAGAAATATTTAATTTGATTAAAAAATAAATACAGAACAGAATCATATAAACGTAGAGTAGTAAAATCATGCTAATAGCACTTGCAATTTATAGCAAGCTGTGGTACAATGCAGAGAATGTCTAGTGTGGAGGGCGGAGCCCCAGATTAAGGAAGACAAGTTGCCGTGGAAACCACACCTGACCTGAATAAGTGAATGGCAGGTGTAGAAGTGGTTTAAAGGGGGGGAAAAGATCCAGCAGGACCTTGGCCTTGCTGTGGCTGCAGTGGCTGAGGCTCTGCTGTGAGAGAGCCGGGCTGAAGCATGACAGTAGCGGTGTGAGACGCTACTAGTCGGGGCAATGTTAGAAGGGCGTGCGGCCATGTACAGTATGAGTAAGCAAACACTTGACTAGCTGCTGTAGAAACCCCGTGAGGAGATGGAGAAGAAAGACAATTCCAGAGGGGATTGTGAGAGGAATAGCCTGTGAGGAAAAGAGTGAAAACGTCAGTCTGTGAGGAGACTGACAGAAGAAACGGAGCTTTATGAGATCGTCTAAAGATTTAAAGGGACAGCATCCTGCTAGGGTGTGAGAGCAGGACTGTTGTGTCTGAGTGTTGTGACTGCTGTATAAGTGAGTTGTGAGATAGTGTGTGTGGACCAAAGTGGATTGTGTGGTAGAGGGATTCTCCCCCTGGCAATACATTGGTATCGGGGAAGTGAGTGGAGTCTATCTAGCTGCACCCTCTAGGAGATAGTGCAGTGGTGGCTGGGCACAGTGAGGTGCACTGGCAGCTGCGCAGATGTAACAGTGGTGGCTGGGCATGATGTGAGGTGCGCTAGCTGTTGTGAGTTCATAACCAATGGGCGTGAGAGTGAGGCGCCAGAAAGGTTGTGAGTGTGTGTTAGAGAGGGACAGTGTGTTGGATCTTTGCACAGTGTTTAGTGGGGAAGAGACTCGGTGATGTAGGTAGTGTGTCTTTGTGTAACCCAACCTGGTGGTGTCAGGAAGAGGACGGCAGGGCTGGAGGCGGACCTGGGAGTCTGAGGCACTGATTGAGTATGAAACAGTGACCTACTGGAGTAGGAGCAGGAGGCTCTGTGTTTGGGTCTGGGAGCAGGAGGCTCCTAGCAGTGAGGACAACAGGATGAACTTGGTGAACTTGAGACTCCGAAGGTAAAGGGCCCAGAAATAATGGAATGCGGAGTCATGTATCCTGTTACCCTGATGAGGGAGTCAGTGTGATCACTACCCTCGGAGGAGAGGGCATATATAAGAAAGTAAA